GGGCCACCCTGGATGGGAACATAAACGCATGCAGAAACAGAAGGTGTCCTTATGTGTAGCAGCAGCATAGAAATGTGCACGTGGGACCTGTGCCGCGGGAGGACACGGGGCTGGGAGAGAAGTGTTTTGCATTGACAATCTCCAGTGTAAACTCCTAAGGGCTCCTATTGGTAGGTGGTGCTGAGAGTTCCAACCTATAATCATTTACTGAGCAGGAGGCAGAAGCAGGAGCAACGGGAGCGCCAAAGCCAGAGCCTTTGTTTACTGGGTTCCAGCAGGAATGGCGGGGCAGGGCAGGAGAAGGGGTTTAGGATGGGCCAGTTTGAATAGTTCCTCCAAGGTCTTCAGGTTGGGATCTGTCGGGGCTCTGGGCTGTGTAGAGCAGGGGAAATATTGTCTGTGTGCGTGCACTTGAGAAGGAAGTGCTGGGCTGGGATATGCTGGCTTGCAGAGGACAGGCTTGCTGCCAGCAGCACCCTGGCTGTCTCTCGGAGGCACTCAGCCATGGCAGGCGTGGTCTCTGACCAGTCACTGAGGCTGCCGATGCCAGAGCACCGAGAATACAAAAACCAGGGAAATATAGTTTATATGATCCTGTGACGAAAGGATGCCAAACAAATACAGAATCTGTGAAAACAAAGAACAGCTACCTTAAGGCCAGGTGTACATGCATAGAGTGTCCTGTGAATTTGACGAGTAGAATTAATTTGGTCTTTCTTTTTTCTTACGTAGAATTTTTAAACCTTTTTTCAAACTCTTCATCCTGTGTAGATTTAAAAAAAAAGTTATAGTGAAGCTGCTTTGCCTTCAGTGTTTGAAATTTGCTTCTTAATGTAATGCAATAGAATTTGCTCTTTCTGGTGCACGGCTAGGAATGTGGACGAATGTGTGTGTTGAAGCATCAGTACTGCCTAGACGCAGAATGAGTCCATCACCCCTGCATTTCCTCAGACTGCCTTTTTGTCATCCCTTCTCCCCATCTCTGACTTCTTCAGCCTTTGATCTGCTGTGCATCTCCACGGGTTTGCCTCTTCCAGAGAGTTGTATAATTGGAATCATAAAGTAAGCAGCATTTGAATCTGACTTCCGTCATTGAGCATAAAACGTTTGGGTTTCTTCATGAATACGTTCCCATGTTGTAGAGGTACCAGTTTACCCATCCACTTGAGAAGGACATTTCAGTTGTTTCCAGTTTTTAGCACTTAAGAACAAAGCTGCTATAAACTTCCACATGCAGGGTTTTGCTGGGCCATATAATCGGTGTATGTGTGACTTTATAAGAAATTGCCAAACTGTTTTTGCAGAGTGGCTGTGCTAGTTTGCATTCCTTCTGGCAGTGTGGGAGAATTCCAGCTGCTTCCTGTCTCAGCCACCTTGGCAAAAACAAGAGCAATTTTTAAAAACTTCTAGCCATTCTGTTCAGGTACGTGGCGGTATCTCACTATAGTCTTCATCGGCACTTCCTGATGACTGATGGAACTGAACCTCTTTCCATGTACTTACTTTCCATCTCTTTTGATAAAGCTGCTGTTCAAACTTTTGCGATTATTAAAGCTGTTGCTTTCTTGTTGTTAAGCTCTGAGACTTCCTTATATATTCTGGGTAGAAGTCGTTGTCAGGTGACCTGCAGGTATTTTCTCTCAGCTGGGGGCAACATTTCCACTTTTCTAAACACTGGCTTTTGCAGAGTAAATGTTCTAAATTTGGACAAAGTCCAGCTGATCAACCTTTCCTTCATGAGTTTGCTCTTGGTGTGCTGCTTCAGAGCTCTGCCTCACCCGAGAGTTTGCCCAAGATTTTCCTCATTCATTCACCGCTCCTCTGCTCACACAGCTCCTCGGACACCTAATATGTGCTTTCTCCTCCTCACGCGATTCTCCAGCTCTCCCAACCCCAGCTGAGCGTTCTGGGCTTCCGTTCTGATCCACCCCACCGCACTGCTCCCACTCTAAATGCCAACCTCAGGCTGCTGGTGCTTCTGATCCACAAGCTATAAATCAGAAGTTCCCATGACCCCTTCCTCAGGCTCAGTAGTTTGCCAGAATGCTTCACAGAGCTCAAGCACGCTCTGATATTTACCAGTTTATTTAAAAGACTACAATTCTGGGAGAGCCAGGTGGCAGAGACGCATAGGACTAGGTATGCGGGCAGGGGACTGGAACTTCCGGGTACTCTACTCTCCCGGGACCCTAACATTTCCAGCCACTTCGTAGCTCTGCAAATCTCCTTAATGAGGTGTTTTCGTAAGCACTCAATCTCCAGGGTGAGCTCCTAAGATCAGTAGATGGGGCTAAGAGTTCCAACCTATAATCGTTTACTCTTCCGGGTGACAGCCCCATCCCAAGGCTATGTAGGGGTCTTATCCGAGGTCACTCTATGAGTATAAACTCAAGGATGACCCAAGCAGGCTCATAATGAAAAACAAAAGACACTCTTATCACTCAGGAAAGCCCAAAGGCTTTTAGGGGCCCTGTGCCAAGGACCTGGAGCAAAGACCAAATACATTTCTTATCATACTACAATTTCCTTCTAAGTTTTATATTTTACATTTAAATCTGTGATCCACCTTGAGTTAGTTTTTATATAAGATGTGGGGTATGGGTTCAGGTTCTATTTTCTGCCTGCGAATCTCCAATTGTTCCAGCACCATGTGTTGAAAATGGAATTATTTCTCCACCAAATTAGTTGCCTTTGCACCTTTGTCAAAAGTCAGCTTAGCATTTTCCAGGGTTCGGGGGTGGCAGAGGCAGAAGGGTGTGGCCATAAAGGTGGCACAAGGGAGGTCTCTGTGGTGTGGCATAGTCCTGCACCTTGACTGTACTGATGGTCACACGCGTCGACAGACGTCAGAAATAGTACACAGCTCTGCACACATTTGGCTTTGACGTTGTACTATAATTAAAAAGGTGTAGTCAGTGGAGCAGGGGAAGCTTAGTAAAAGTACATGGGACCTTTTAGAGCTTTCAATGATACGAACAGCCCGCTTAGTAAAAGCATGTGTACTATCTTTGCAACTTCTTGCGAATTTATCATTACCCTGAAATAAAAAGTTACAAATTGGTTGACTGTATCTGCGCATCTATTTCAGGACTCCGTTTTGATTCATGGTTTTTGTCTGTCCTTGCCGTTGCTGTGCTCTTGCTTGTTTCCTATCATTCATGAGTCATGAAGCCAGGTGGCGTGAGTCATCCAGCTCCTTCTTCTTTTTCAAAACGGCATCTTTTGCATTTGCGTGTGGCTCTTAGAATCGGCTTGTCGGTTTCTACAAAAAGGTCTGTTGGGATTTTGACTGGGGTCGCCATGAATCTATAGATCAGTATTAAAATATTAAAAGTATTAAGTCTGCTGATGATCTTCCTTTCATTTTCCATTTTCAAGTTTAGCTTTCACTTTTTGGCTTTTAATGTAAAATTCCTCTTGGCCTTCAACAGCTTAAGATGAGAAAGCGGACTTAGGAGTCCTGGTGAGTGTGGGTAGCCCCTTCCCTCCCGTTTAGAGGAGAGGAATCAGGCAGACGCAGCCTGGCGGGCTCTACTGGTGAGCATGCTGGCTGAGAGGGAAAGTTACTTCTGCCCAACACAGAGTTGTACATCAGTGTATCTTTTTAGATGCCCCGTGTTGCCATAGCAACACAGAAGCCATTTTTAACCTGATAACTTCTGGTTACCTGTCCTATAACTCCCATCAGATGGCTTAAAACCTTTAGGAAAAAAAGGCATGGGTAGGTTCAGGGTTCTTTTTTTTCTTTCTTACATTATAGATGTAATTTTTGAAATATTAAAAAAATATATAAAATATTCAAACTGTTTTCAGAAGCGAAGGAGGAAGTCATGGGCCCCAAGCAGGTTAACAAAGGAATAGGTAGCAATCAAATTCCACTCAATGTAGGTCCTTGCGGACATGGCCTATCACAGTTATGAGTTTATATCGCAGTACCTGGTATTTATTCGGGTAGTTCAATACCTAAATAAATTTTTTTCCGTAATTTCTTTTCACCTACAGTCTTTGGCCCTAATTTATCTTTTTCATTCCAGGGTAGATTTATCACTCGACTAATACTATATACCAGTAATGATGAACCTTTTAGAGTTTTCAGTGATACAAACAGCCCGCTGAGGCATGCCTGCCATAGGTTCGCCACCACTGCTATATACTAATGGTAGAAAGTCCACATTCTTTTATGTCTGACCAAGAATCAACTTTTACAGTAATCAATGAGGAATAAAAAAATATATAAGGTTGCTAGTTAAAGGCCTCGGGGGATGTGTTTCAGAGCTAAGAGTGAGGAGTCCTTGTCCCTGGTGGTTAGGAGTAACCAGAGGATGTGATACCAAGGGGTCCCTGGGTGAGACAGCAAGCATCATGCCCAGGTCAGACCTGCCATAGAGGAGCAGAAAGGGCCAGTTGGGGATATGTCAGCCTCCTCTAGATGTGTGGGTATTTGTTCATCAGCAGAATTGTTAGTTTATGAAAACCCCTTTGCTATGACCACCCCTGGCCCTCCGTGCAAGGTCAATTAGGGACACTACCACACTGTTCAAGAGGGTTGTCACTCTAGGATGGCTCTTTTCAGTACACGCTCTGTGGGTATTCTGCATTCTACCTTTATTTTGATATTCACCAAGCCACACATTATTGGGATTCTCAGTCCAGACTTCTAGGCCTCAGCACAGCCCTTGATTTTGGTGATTGAAAAGTATACCTTCAGTTGGGAACTTTGAATAAAAAGCTACCTAAAAAGGACCTGTCTTCTCAGTAGCCTAGAACTGAATACCCTGATCAAAGTCGCCGTTTTGTCACAGGCTGTAGGCCAGTTTGGTATTCCTCGTCTGAAAGGGAAAAATAGAAAGAGACGCTGAAATAGTTCCCTGCTATACAGTGACCGTCTTTGGTTACAAATGTCTCACAACGCAAAGCAGAAATATTGTTTAATACTAGAACTAGATAAGCTCTTTAATGGTCTGTGAGGAATATATTTTATTTTTTTTTTCCCCTTACAGATCATCATGTTAAACTCTGTTTCCGACCTTCACAGCTACATTGACAAAAGCCAGCTGACTCAGGAGCTAGGGGGAACTTTGGAATACCGCCACAGCCAGTGGCTAAATCATCGCACTGTGAGTATCAGCCTGTGTGGGTTTCACGGCCTCGCCTTTGTGTTCAGAAGCCAGGGGAAGCTAAAGGTCACTGCCCACGACTGCCTGATGCTAGGACAACTGGAATTTCTCAGCCAGAGGGCGGGTGGAAGTACGGTTTAAGGGAAAGGCTGAGGTTTGCTCTGCTGGCTGCCTAAGCCCCCTGCAACTTCTGACTTGGGAGTTTTGAGAATCTTGACCTAGGGTGCATTTGGGGAGTTTTCAAAAATACCATTATGTGCAAAATATACGTCACGGAAATTACTTGATTTAGGATGGGTCTCAGACATTAGCAATTCATAAAACTCCCCGGGTGATTCCTGTGTATAATGGACAGGAAGCCAGAATTAGCTGCATTTGAGTACTGTCCCCCTTACTCACTGTCCGGCTGCAAGGGAGTTACTAAGCCCCTCCATGCTTGGTTCCTCCCTGTGAAAATGAGACCGATGCCCTGCTTCCCTGCTGGGAGTCGCGTTGCCCCCCTCCCCACAAGGCATTTGCTGATGTCGTTAGATAGCTTCTGTCCTAGTTTTAGGCTTCGAGTGTGTGGGGGCCAGGGACCCTGTTAACACCTTGCACAAATGTTGCTCCACAGCAAATAATTATCCAGCTCAAAATGAGAGTAGGGCCAATATTGAGAACCACTGACCTAACAAAAGCTACCTGAGTATATGATGCGGAGAGTGATACAGAGCTTGATATACAAAGTGTGATTAAAATACACAGTGAATGCTTAAAATGTTTTTAAATTTGTTACAGTAAAAGACATACTGCCGTTAATCTCCCTCAAATCCCTCTCCCTCACTGCAGATGCATCTGTCCCGCCACTCTTGCCACTTTCTTAAGCAGCTGTGGAAGTTCTCTTTTGTGAGTGTCTTTAGTTGCACTGCCCCAGCTGCCTTAATGTCCTGAATCAATTCAGAATGTTTCCCTTTCACAGTCATTTTGACTTTGAGCAAGAGCCAGAAACTGCACAGTGCCAGATGCACTGAAAAAGTGGTGAAGATACATCACTGTGTTTTTACCTAACAGAAATGGACATAAACTGCCAGGCGTGGTGGCACACGCCTGTAATCCCAGCACGTGGGAGGCTGAGGCAGGAGGACCTTTGCGACTTCGAGACCTGCCTGGGCTAGTGAGCTCAAGGCCAGGCTGAACTGCATAGCAAGACCCTGTCTCAAAACAAAACAAAACAAAAAAAATTGACATAAATGTTTGATCAATGAGAGGTGATCAAACCACATGGTGAATTTTTAAACAAAAAATTTATTACAGTCAAATACACATTGCCATGAAATCCCCTCAAAATACGACCCCTTGCTTCAAACATACATCCCATTGTTCTCGGCAGTGCGTCTTTCACTGTGGTAAGTTTTTTGAAAAATTGAACATTTTTTTATCATTCTTTGTATGGTAATTTCCTTTTTCCCACTTATTTGTATTGGTGGTTGTTATGCTAATCTAGAAGTTTCAGTAATATTGAGGGAAGATAAAACTTACGACTAAGAGTTGACTATTAGTGTGCCCCTTGGTCCTGAGTTACGCGTGCTAGGATCCAGGTGATAGTATTCAGAAACAGAGCTTTCGGGTGACTAAGTCATGAGAACTCTACCCGCATGAGTGGGATTAGTGCCTTTGTAAGAGGTTGAAGAGAGTGGCTTTGGGCTTCTCCTGCCTGTGAAGATGCAGAGAAGGCACCATCTTGTGAGGAACCATGCTCTCACCAGATTCCAAAGCTGCTATGCCTTGACCTTGGACTTCCCACCTTCAAAACTGGTGACTCCTAAGTAATCTCGTTGGAGTGGGAGTTGAAGAATGGTCAATTCTTATTTTTTTTTAATGGAGAGAAGATCTCACCATGTAGTTCAGGCTGGCCTTGAACTTACTGTGTAGTCCAGGCTGGCCTCGAACATGCAGAGATCCTCCTGTCTCAGCCTCCCGAGTGCTGGGATTACAGGCATGTGCCATCACGCCCAGCTCAAATCTTTTTTGAACCAAGATAACTTGTAGCAAATACATTTTAAAGATGTATACCTTGACATCAAAGATCAAAATAATTCTTTAAGAATTTAGAGAGCTAAAGAAGGCTAAGATCAAGAAGACTGGTTAGTTAGAGACAGCTTAAGCATATGTGTGCACACTTCCTGCCCTGCTAGACCTAGTTTGTAGCCTAGTTTGTGGTTTTGTGGTTGTGAGTGTGTTCAAATACATGCTAACATGCAACTAGTACCAAAAGACCAGCAATATTCTTTAGATGCCTCCTACATGTTTTTATGTAGACTTTTATATATACACATGTAACTGGGAATAATTAGAGTAGAAACACATACGAATATTGTTTTTTATCTTATGATTACCATATATAGATCCATTTTCTGCATGTATATGTGCCAGTGTGCTTCTTGGATATCACATCTTTGAATGAGAGACTCATAGAAAATCAGATCTCAAAAGGCACTAAAGATTATTTACTTGAATCACTTCATTTTACAGACAAGGCAACTGACCTTCAGAGTAAAAAGGAGACTCATCCGAGGTCGGGTGGCCAACCAAGCTCTTTTTTAATTCTCCTACCAGGGTCAGGTTCTCTGTGCCATTTCCAAAGTGGTTATTCATGGGATATCACGGAATCAAATTAAATTGTTAATAGGTAACCTCCACGGGACACACTGGCTCTCTTCTGTTTTCAAAGTGACATTTGCAGGCCTCCACCTGACACTCCGGGTCACCATTATTAGTACCACACCTGTAAGGGACTCCGCTGTCCCCAGGGTTCCCTCGTGTCTGCAGTTCTTTTTTGATTCTCAAAAAAACCTCACGTGACTGCATGTAGCTCAAGCATAGATCACTTGCTCAGCATGCCTGAGGTGGATGGTTGGCCCCAGGTTCAATCTCCAGCACTAAAAGGAAAAAAATCCCCTCAAGCCCTGCAGAACAGAGAGTGTTACCCCTTCTTTCAAATGAGGACTCCAGGGCCCAACGGCATTACCGGGCTTAGCCAAGATCATACCGTCAGCGAGGATCAGGAGCTGGACTCTAATTCACATCTCCAGCTCTCAGGGCCAAGGTCTTCCTTGGATCTAGTTTTCACTCCCGTTTTGCTAAATGCAGTTTTGACTACCAAGAACTGACAAAGTGCAGTGCTTACGAATACAGCCCCGGAGCCAGGTCACCTGGCTTCAATCCCACTTCTACCATTTATTGTTTTATGTGACCTCAGGGAAATCACTTAACCTCAGCATGCCTTAGTTCCTTATTGGTAGGGTCTAGGTTGATGATAACACCTAACTAGCTGCACTGGGAGAGGAAAATGCATCCTAATCATACATGTTCTTATTATTCCCTTGTAAGTGAGGCTTTTTCTTTGATATTATTCATCATGGGTCATTAGTGACATAATTATAAGTATTAAATTATGTGAACATAATAACTTTGATGTGCTTGAAAGGTTTTCACAATACCTGTCTGGCTTTCCAGACCAGAAGTACTGTCATGTTGAAGGTTGTAGCTGTCCAAGCTCCCGTGCTAACAGGGCAACTCCCCTCTGGCAGTGCTTCAAGTGCACCAGGGGCTGCAGTCGAGAAGACTTTGGTAGGAGGAGGTGGGCAGTGTTCTCGAAGCTTCCTCATGGCAGCCCCCGTGATGACCTCTGGTGTAGTTAGGGCCCCGTCAGATCTGGTGCATTCTTTTTGGTGTGGGTTTGGGTTTTCAGAATCATTCTCTGATAACGTAGAAGAAGAGGTCATTTCTTCCCAAATGAAAGTTCAGTAGGTCTCTTTGCTTTTTCTATGCACCCGTTGGACTGTTGTTTACGGGTCCCGTGTAGTGTGTGAAAGGCGCAGTGCCATGGCCTGGGGTGCGGAGTGAAGGTGGCGTGGTGTTTGCAGAAGAAGCAGGTGTGGGAGTACAATCTGGCAAGCAGGATAATTCCTGCGACTCTAACTGCAGCTAACTGCTCCCAGGGGCGAGATACTTTCTCTAGCCTGGGCCGCGTGTTTCCTGAAGCAGTCTTCTCACATGAAGCTCCCTCACCTGGGATATTAGCTGAGAGGCTGCCGACCGGTTAGCACAGATTCATTTAACAGCAGAATAGAGGCCTAAGTGGAAGGGACACAGAGCAGGCAAATTTAGTAAACCTGTGACAAGACGAGGTCCCCAAACCGCATCTAAAAGAAATGATTCCCTTAAGGGTCATCCTTAAGGATCACCTTTCCCCCCAACTGTCAAGTCCTCTCGAGCATTTGACAGGCTTCTCCTCGGCAGCAGACACGGGCACAGGTGTGCGTGAGGGGCGGGAGAGGAGAGGGAAATGTGGGGGATACAAGAGAAAGTCGGCTTTGTTAAAAAGAAGGTGGGATGACTCTGCCCTTTGCAGTTTTGCACCTAATATAAATTCTGAGTCAGACCTAATGTTCGGTGTTCTTGGGGGTAATGAACAGAGCCCCAGCCTTGCAACAGCTGGCCTTGCTTGGACCCTATCTTCCTACCTTCTTTATTGCCCAAGTAATTTGGTTTTGGGGCAACTCACAACTGTCAGAGCTCCAGTTCCCTCTTCTATAAAATATCTCCCACTCTGCATTGTTGAAATAATACACAAATGTGTGCTGCAAGGGACAGTCTGGGGCCCGTTGCCTGTGCTCTGAGTCCTTCCAATGAGAGAGTCTATTAGTGGAAGTTAATTGTTCTACACTGTTACAATCATCTGACCTTCCAGGCCGTAGAAAATTTTGCGTTGACGTTGAAGACCACTGCGCAGATGCTGCAGACATTTGGGGCCTGCCTGGCCATGACAGAACTGCCCAAAGGCATGCTGTCCACCGAAGACCTCCTCATGTCCCACACCCAGCAGCAGGACAAGGTGCAGGTGAGTGCTCAGAGGCCTCTCAAACGTCACCTCCCGGAGGGGGCCAGGAGCAGAATTCAAGGAGGAACCTTCTCCTTCCTTGCCTTCAGCGACGTGGCGGCCATTGGCCATCTGAGACCCTCCGGATAGGCAGGAGGTGAAGAGAAGAATCTCTGGAGGCCAGAGAATCTTAAACCTAGGGAAGCAACCTAGGAAGGCAAATTCCCATGACTCTGCCCAGGCCAGAGCGAGAAAACTCGGGCTGAAATTGCAGGGGGTGAGAAATTGCAGGGGTGACAAGAGAGTTGACTCAAAGTATGAGCCTTCCAGGGGTTGTCGTGAAGTTTGGGGACAGACTAATAAACTAAGTGCTTTGGTTTCTCAGGGACGTGTCTTTTCATGTGGGAGGAAAAGAACTCCTCTACCGAAGTTGCTCTGAACTGGTTTTAAGGCGTGCCACCCATTAGGTGATTCATGAGAGCACGTCAGAATTTGAACAGAAAGGAGCCTCGGCGGGGTGTTTGGAGCATGCAGTAAGGGAAGTCATCCTGGGCTCCTAACTGCCTGGGTGCCAGCTCCTTTCTCCCTTGAGAAACATGACCAGACTGAACTCCGTATTTCCCAGAAGGTCCGTTATCAATATGGCGGCAAACCCAGGGCGTTGGCATCATACCTGTCCTTGCTGCGTCAAACTTGGCAAAACTCTTCATGCGTGACCCAAAATTTGCAAAATGCTTTACCAAATGATTAATTTGCACATTCATTGAACACAGATCAAGTATTCACCACTGCATGCCAGGAACCACCCCAGCCTCGCACCCCTCCCCCGAAATGCAGCCTTGAGAAACACAGTCTAGTTAGGGGAGTCTCAGAGTCTAGTCACTGGAGCAAATGAGTATCTTCCATGTGCAAGGGAATCACGCTAAATTCCATCTTTAAGGGGTTGTGGTCCGAAAAGAGTTCCAAATGTACTCCCGAGACTATTCTGAGAAGTCGAGTGATTGAGGCGGACACGGTGAAATCCTGACAACATCTTGGAGGTATTCCCAGGAAAAGCCCCTGGGAAGCTTGGCCATTTTCTGTTTCTGACATTCGGGCCAAGTTCACTTCCTCTATTCCTTTGAGGCCCAGGCTGCAGAAAGCTGGGTTTAAAGCGCCTCCGTGAAGTCTGCTAGGAGAGGCGTTGCTAAGACCTCCAGGAGTCTGCAGAGCAGCCAGAGGGCTGGACCACGCTGGGCTCAGCGTCAGGAGGGAACTGCGAAGCCCAGCTCCATTCAGAGGGTTCATGAGCACGGTGCGCTCTCTGCCTCAATGCCTGGACCTGCTGCAGACCAGAAGCACGGAGACAACAAGGAAGGTCTCTGGTGACCAGCAGGCAGAGCATTTTTGCAAGTTTTGGGCCTCCGATTAGAGCCTGGCTCTTCCAGCTTTGATGCAGTGAGAACACATGCAATGCTCTAAGGGGAAAAGTTTTTAAAATGTGGGTTTTAGACATTTCTCGGTAGTAAAAACCAGCCAGACAGGTCCTACTGATTGTGCAGTTGGTTGGCCCAGGAAAGGCAGGGTGAGCAGTGCTCTGTAATTTCAACAGAGACAGAATTTTACAGAGGCCAAGGGGTGGAAAGAACCAGGTTCTGAAATGGATAAGGACATTTCCCTGTGCACGGGGACCAGCAACTCTGGGCAAAGGGTAGTGAGACTTCACACAGGTTACGTACAGGGGCTGCAGAGATAGTGATGTAAAATATGAATTGACATGTATAAGGAATAAATAATTTTACCCTCTAATTATCATGTCTCAATTTGGTTAAATACTCTAATCTGTGAGACAAGTGAAAAGAATTTAGGAAGCTCCATTTAATTAGCCTCGTAGTAAGAAAACAAATGCAGTCTTGCGTAAACTAGTCGATGAGGCTTGTGTTTATAGTTCATGCCGCCTTATAACCATGGCAAAAACTCATTCCCATTTGAGAATAAAATTCTTAAAATAATTTAATATGTTCAGATATTCATCTTGATTAAGAACGTTAAGTGAATTTGGATTAGAAACATTGTTCTGTCTTTCTTTTACCAAATAATATTCTATTAGAGACAATACAGAGGATTCTTAGGGACTTTTGTGATTAGTAATTATTGGCCTAATGTCAATTTGATTTCTTTGTTCTTTGTCTTGTAACTTAAAAGCAAGGATATATTTTAAAAAGCAAGAATATCAAAATTCTTAGACCTGAGTTAAGCATTTCCTCTTTCTCAACTAAAAATGCCTTGAAGAGAAAAATGGTCTATATTAGAAAAGGAAATAACTGTTCTTTAAACCATTATTAATAATTTAGTAGTTTCTGGTTATTTATATGAAATTTATTTTACTTATTAGTGTTTTTGCCTAACTTTTAACCAAAGAGTCTACAAGAATAGTAAGTTGAATAGTTCGTTTTCCATTTGGAAAACACCTTTTCCAAGTGAAGAACCTATACAATGTAAGAGTCATCCCTTACAATGTGAACTTTTAAATCTCCTTAAATAGCTGTGAAAGTCACAGCCTGTGAATTACTGATTTCTCCCAGCCTGGAGAGCCGCTAAACAGCTGGGAGATTTGGCTTGATTGCTCGGTTTACTTTCTCCTGGGGATATTCAGAGCTCTTATCTTAGATCTATATGCTCACTCAATGGCCCCTGCAAGCTGTTCAAGAAGGAGCGCCATTGGACTGAAGCTTTTTTACAGCCTCATTTGCCAATTCTCTGTGGAGTGATCACTCTGTTTTTCAACACCAAAAGAATCCCTTTTCTGCTGGCCACCAGTGGTATCTGCTTATACTGAAAAAGAACAAAAAATCAAACTCAAAATATTCACAGCAGAACAATCTTATGAAACTTTTAAGAAATTTTGACTGGGAAAAGGGCGGTCCTCTAGAACCGTAAATTCCCTCCCGTTAGGCTGAACCCCCTTGGGCTCTGATTCCACTGCTGCAGTCAGCCGGCGTCCCCGACTTCCACATAGAATGTGCTATTTTGCACCCAAGCAGATTGCGGGCACTGGGCTTCCTTCAGTGATCTGAAACCCTGTTTTCTCTGTGACTTCACTATCCCATCTGAGGGCAGGAAGGAAGAGTGAGTCCTGTACAGACAAGCAGCTTTAGCGTGGGCTGGGTTCCTGATGAACGAGAACACACACACACACACACACACACACACACACACACAGACTTAGCACATGCATGCAAACACACACACTCAGTTGATTCTTCTCCAAGGCGATGCCTACATTTCCTGAGGATGGGAACTGTCCCTGGCTGTGGCTCTCTCACTCTGCAAGCAGCACTTACCCTGCCACTGCAGGGAGCATGAATTTATATATAAGGGCAGGAAGCCAGCGCCCTGAGCTCCTCTTCCACCCAGGCTGAGGGCTGGAAAGAAAAAGAAAGAAAGAAAGAAAGAAAGAAAGAAAGAAAGAAAGAAAGAAAGAAAGAAAGAAAGAAAGAAAGAAAGAAGAAAAAAAGAAAAAAAGGAAGAAAGAAAAAGAAAGAAAAGAAAGAAGTCCCCAAACTGATGGATTTGTCTTTCCATGTAACCAAACCTCCGTTTTTGGGCGGGGTGACTTACCTTTACCCTTTCGAGGGACCGTCATTCCTCCACCTCTCCCTTTGTTTTTCAGCAGATTTTGTGACCCTCCTGAAGCTGTGATCCGGGCCACAGTCTCCGCTTTTACCTTTTTTAGCATGCTGGAGATGCACAGTGTGTGCCCTCCGGTCTTAGATCCCCCTGCCCTGTCTCACACGTTCTCCTGATTCTCTGCAGCGCCCTGGGTGTGCCCTCCCTTCCAGCTTCCCCTTCCAACCTCCCCTTCGGCCCTGGCCCTGGCCGTTCACCTGTCCGCCTTTAGCCTCTCCGCCCTCCTGCCCATCTCTGCATCACCAAATGTGCGTGCAGGGATGCAAACCTACCAACGATGGTGCACAGTCCTGCTAGAGGCTCTGGGTGGGAAAATCCAAGGCTCTTTTTAGTGAGTAGGAGGAAGAAGAGGCTAAGAACACCGTCTCGTGAGTACTTTACCCCCATTATATCTAATTAGTTTTAGTCATCTGCAACCTGACTCCTATTAGACTGTTACTGTCCTATCCACCCTGCAAATATTTAATGAGCACGGATGAGATAAGAAATGCAGACGGACATTTGAGAGTGGAAAAGAAGGGCTGTGTCTCATTCTCAGGCAGGAGAGCAGCCAGGTGGGCGGCTTGAGGCACCACTTGGGATGGACAGAGCCTGGAGGAATCCAGAGACCTCTGAGGGGCTGCCGTGGAGAAGTGAAGGCTGTCAGCCACCAGGCCTAGGGACAAGTTTGAGGTTGGGTATGGACAGCATAGCCCTTCCGCTGCAGTGAGATGGGAGACAAGGAACAGATAGATCGTTGGGATGAGGCGGTCCAGGGCCACAGCGGGAACAGCGTGGGGAAGCCCAGATCTCCTGTCCCAGAGAATGAGCTGCTGCTCGGTGCTCAGGCACGGAGGTGACCGCTTGGCGTGAGCCTCGGAAGCGTGGGTTTCTTCTAACTGCTGAGTGCATCTGTGACCCAGGAACAGAACCCAGAATCCCCAAGAGTGAAATTCTAGGCCAGGCTGTGCTCCTTTGGGCTTGCAGTCTGGACCTCGTGGTTCAGGCTCAGAGCCAAGAGAGATGACCTGCCCTGCCCGAGGAGAGGACTCAAGTTGTCGGAAGCAAATAGCGCCCCCAGTAGCACAGCCCTGAGTCCCCATGTTAACGAGCCCAGTGGCGTTGCCTTGGAAACACAGACCTAAATTACTGTCTGTGTCTGAGGAGGGAGCGGAAGGAGCGGGTGTGCTGATGAGCCCACGTGAAGTATCTTCCTGGTCCACTAGCAAATGTCACGTTGTTCCCGTTCGGCCATGTCTAGCACTTTACATTCCATATCTGTCGCTTTCTTGTTTCTGGCCACTACCTTTGATTTTATTAACCAGTTTTGCTTTTAGTTTATAACAACAGCTTACGATACACAATAAATAATAGATGTTGCTTTTGGAGAGGGAACGTAGACAGGCTGGGCACAAAAGACCTGCCTTTACTGGTATCCAACCTTTTGTATATTTTGAATTTTGTACTGTATGTATATCAAGGGTACATTATTTCTTGAAAGCCGCATCTTAACTTCAGCATTTAATTTCCTAAATGAAAAGTCCACTGATCTACCATTTCCCTCACAGCCCCCCATATCAAGAATTAGTTTTTTGTTAATTCCTTCAACAAGAGTCTTTTTCTTTTTTTTAGGGTGAGCTGAAATTACTTGGAAAGCAAGGGGCCACATTGCTATCTTGTGTCCAAGACCCAGCAACCAAAAATTTCCCCAGCAAACTCAATCCCAGTGAACTTGAGAATATAGCTACCATGGAAAGGTGAGTAAGACAGGATTTGCTTTTTGAGGAGAGACTATGTAGACCTGGTGTTCTGAACTAGCCAAGAACAGATCGGAACAGCTACTATTGGACTCAGTTGGCCTCAGATGGAAGAACAATTGAGACACAAAGGGAAAAAGACCAGGCCCACCTGACCTCCACCCACAGAGATCTTTTCAGGAAAAGAATTTCATTCCTTCTTCTTACCATACACTCTCATCCTGGGATTTCAAGAGAGGTGGTAGTACTTGTTGAGTTTTATTTCCAAATAACTTTGGCTTGGTGCTATGAGACCACATGCGTGGTCTCAAATAGGAAAAACAAAAGAAGGCATATAGGTACATGCGGTCACCTGGGACCCATTTTAAAGCATGGAGCCTGTTTCTGAGGTTGTCTCTGCCTGCTCTTCTGGTGTCCTGCCTGGAAAACAGAAGGTGCAGGGACCCACCGAACCATCGGTGATACTCTTTCTTGATGCAGCTCTTGCTGCAGTTGGTAACACTGATGGAAACCATAGGTGAGATATAGAAATATGTATAGACCTCAGAAATGCATGCTAATATTAGGTTGTCTTTTCATTCTTTCTTGAAAGGTTATTAGTTCAATTGGGAGAAACAGAAAAAGCCTTCAATCAGTTTTGGTTTGAGCATCACCTGAAGCTTAACCAGTGCCTACAACTACAGCGCTTTGAGCACAATTTTTGCAAGGTATTGTTTTCTTTCTAAATATAACTTCCCTTTTTCTCTTGATACAGACCTCTGACTGTCTCCTTCTTCTCAGATGCTTGGGGACTTGGTTTTTCTTTTCTCAGGAATTCATCTCCCTGTTTATATCTTTGCTTCATCCTAGTCCCTCTTTCCTGGCGTTTTCAGTGGGGAGCAGTGTTCTAGGACCCCATCTTCTTGTGGACGTACATGGCGTTTCATTGCCTTCTTTAGAGACTGATAGTCTGTTGAATGCAGTTCTAATATTGCACCTACACGTGTCTCCACCCCACCCAGAGAGACTTAATGTGAAAAGTAATGAAGTGGAAAAAGAGAGAGAGAGAGAGAGAGAGAGAGAGAGGGAAGGAGGGAAGGAGGGAAGGAAGGGTACAGAGAGATACACACAAGTCTGATCCTGTTTGGAGTTTCGAGTTTTTTAGGACACACCCAGCCTGTCCTCCCAGATGGGTGGCATTTCACGGTTCTGACCTGTCTCATAGGCGAAGCTTGCCCTGGATCATCTGCTGGAAGAGCAAGCAGAGTTCACAGCCATTGGAGACAGCGTGGTCCACGTGGAGCAGCTTCTTAAGGAACACAGACACCTGGAGGAAAAAGGCCAGGTTTGTTCTGCTTCCAGTCGGACCGTGGTACTTGACTGCTTTGGAGTGAGTCAGATGGTTGTACTCATGCATTTTGGCAAAACTTCTGCCAAAGTTTTGTCCCGGGACCTGTCACTGGGCTTTGGTACTCAGTTCACAGGTTAGAACTTGCCGGGGTTGACACCCTGTGACTCAGCACCCTTTCCAACCAAAACAACGTGTTTGGTGCTCATCATTTTGGTACTCGTCACACTTCCCGGAGCCAGTGAACACGTCCTGAGCTGCCACTGCACTGGGCAGGAGGTGGCTGTGGACAGTGGGTCATGTCCACTCACTGCTGGTGGAGAGTGGCTGACGGCCAAACCCTGCCCTTCACTCACCCCACCCTGAGGTCCCCGAGGATACACGCATGTTGACAACTCTAAGGAGTAACACTGAATGATATTAATAGCGCACAGTTGTCCTAAGCTGCTGGACACAGCGGAGAGCAGAGGCCAGCTCTGAGAGAGCCCTGGGCCAGCCCTGCCTCTCCTGGGCTCGGCAGCCAAGTGCAGAAGGTCACAGTGAGTGCATCCTTCACGAATCAGCTGGCGCCAGTCAGATCCCCACCAGGGCTGCTCTGGGGGGCCCAGGTGTGTGGGCAGAGGAGGGGAAAGTTAGTTATAATTGTAATTGTATATATTCCCCTCCTTGTTAGTAAGGAAAGGGGAAACTATAAAACCCAGCAATAGCAAGACCTTACATAGGGAAATCAATCCTCAAGAATTCTCGTGGTATCCACAAGTGACCAAAGCTTTCTCCTTGCCCACGTCCCAAGAGCCAAAGGCAGCAGACTTGTAGCAGAATACGTGTCTTACAATTCCAGCATGAAACAGTTTCCTAGAGCTTCACACTACTCAGTGCTCAGAAGTAATTCGATTTTAAGTTCTTACAGATTTAGTTTCTTACAAATTAAGGCTAGTGAGTTATCCCTTTCCAGAGAAGTACCATTCTGCTTTTCCTCAGTTAGGTTCTCTGCGTTGCTTTCTCTTGGGGACCAAGTCTCCTGTGATTGCCACTTCCTTTCCGAGCTCCTCTAGAGGCTTTTCTGGCCAGCAGCATACATATCACCTGGGGAAAGGCTTATTAAACGCACAGGATCTCAGGCTCTCTCTAGGGATCAGAAACTGCGTCTTAACAACAGAAACAATCCCCATTTGATTGACGTGCACCTGATGTCAGAGACACACACCCCTGAAGGTAACAAAACCAATGCCACATCCAGCGGGAGGAACCCACCTGCACACCCTGGTCCTTCCTCGGAAATCCCATCCTGCCCTCTGAGCGCTCTTCCTGGTATCAGCCGTCGTCTGACAGCTGACTACTTTTGCTGTGAGTCATCAGAAACATGTAGCAAGCAATGGAGAAATGGAACCTCAGATGTCAGGGATTCTCCAGAAGAAACAGACCCAATTTTATGTAGTAGCTTCTTCAAGAGAACTCTTAGTAGGGGCTGGCGATTTAGCTCAGTGGCACAGCACCTGCCTGGCAAGCACAAGGTTGTAAGTTCAGTTCCTGGTATGGGGCAGGGGTGGGGGGACTCTTAGTTAAATACAGATACCATGTATCTACAGTTATATAAATGTGCATGTTAGGGAGATACGCCCTATCAATAAAAATCCCTTCCTATGTAAATGAAGGTGGTTACTGACCTATGGAGAGTGCACCCATTTCTCAGCAGGCCTTCCTTGTCCTGAGTTCGGTGGGTATGGTGGAGAACCAGACAAGACTCTGCCCTTGTGGTTTCCAGTCTATGGGAGAGAGGAAGTTAATTAGAAAGCATACGCTTAAATAAATACCTCATGAGTTCTTTTCACGTGAGCAACCAAATTATAAATAAAGAGCACAATAAAAGGTAGATAAGAGAAGGAAGGAGATAGATCTTTATTAAATGAGAAGGGGATCAAGAGATGTAGCGAGGGGAAGGTAAAAGGGATGAAAAGGAACGAAGGCATGTTATGTACACGTGCTGGCTCCACACAAGGAATGTACACATTGTGTCCTGAGGACACCAACAGGAAGAATCAAAAAGCAAGAAAACAAATACTAACATCAGATAGTGACAAGTGACACAAAGGAAAAACAGGGTATAATAGAAGGTTACTGGGGTGCTGCTCGAGTTGGGGTGGTCAGGAAAGGCCTCTGAGAAGGTGACCTCTGACCTTTGATCTCTGAACTCGTGCCAAGCTTTGGAGAGTAGCGTGAAGGCAGAGGAAGCTACGCGTGCAGAGGTCCTGTGGCGGGACGGGGCTGGTGGGTTCGAGGAGTGTTGCTAGAGTGTTCTGAGCCAGGAGGAAATGAGGTGAGAGAGATGGGCAGCGGCTAAGGCGTCATGTTAGGCCCCGAGGCCTTTGGCGAGCAAGAGTTTTCGTTTTATTCTCAGGAGAACAGGAAGCCATTGGGTGGTGCGCTGGGTTGTGTTCTAAATAGTGGTGATGGATCGGCATGACTGTATCACATTCTCTCTTCTTCCCATCTTGGTCATACTTTAAACATGACTTTGCTCCTTGGACCTGTGACCCTTGGTACATACCTTTAAAATGGCTGCCAGAACTAAGCATGAAGCCTGCGGTCACAGGACTTGGCAATGCGCATGGCAGATTCTTGAACCAGCTGGACTGAGCCACTGCAAAGGACCTCTGGAGTCCAGGCCTGTTTCTAAAACCTACTTCCTACAAGATGCAACATATCTACTCCTCTGCTTTTGCGTAAAGCAGAGCGGTAACTGGAGTCTTTCACAGTATATCTTTTGTCAGATTTCTAAGAGGCGTTGTGTCTCTCAGATGATAAGGGCTTGGCTGGTCTTTCTTTGGTCCTGTCAAGTGTTCAAGGAACAAGGTAGTATCTGGCCAGAATCCACCAACTATCTGCTTGCGGTTCATCCTGTTCTCAGCCCTCAGATGTCCACTTCTGTCCCTATGTAGCCACAGACTGCTTCTGGCTTGTCACCCACTTCCTCTTGTAGTAGCGACACCATCCTCACAGGTCACCTCCGAGCCAGCTCACTAACCAGATTCCTGTCGCATGCAAAGTGAGCCTGTTCTTTATGTTGCTCTACGCGGAGGAGTTAGGAGGCTTTAAATACTTCTTCCTGATTCTGAAAAAACAGCAGTTTCAACTTCCGTCTTCTACAAAAGCAGAATCTGCTGTAGAGTTTTGGCAGTGAGGCAGGCTGAGACTTGGCAGTGGGCCAGCAGGAGCTAGACCAGGACAGGGTAGGAGGAATCAACCTGATTCTAGCCATGACTTCTTCCTCCAACGCTACTGTGCCCAAGGAGGGCCGGAACCCAGGATATTAACATCCGGAGGATGCTTCCTCCAGGGGAGGACCGTGCCCTTCCAGTCTGTGAGTATAATTTTCAGTCACACAGGGAAGCAGCTAGCCTAGTACAAGGAACACCCATGTGTTCATCACTCCACTTTTAACCCTTTGCCTTTCTTGTTTCATCCGGCCTTCCTCTCACACCTACACTCCTTCCTGTGCCATCCCCTGGGGGCCCTGGGGTGCAGCAGCATGGCCCTCCTACCTCCTGTTTTCTTCCATGTAGGCACTGTGGTCTTTCATCTCTCTCAGCAACAGAGGAGAGGGGGAAAAATCAGCTGTTTGTACACTAAAGATTTCTGATTTACGTGTGACTTGGCTATCTAATCTGCTGTAATTTTCAGCATCTGAAAAACACCCTGTAGTCAGAACCAGATTTTGGCTTTTTCTTTATTATTATTTCTTTGGAGATTTTGCTGACTGTTTATCTTGGGCGGGAGCTGGGTAAACTAAAAAACAAGCTATAATTTGGAGGTTTATAGTCAAAACTTCTTGTAGGCATCAAAAGGACTTCACAGTTGTGGTGATGTGACTATCATTCACAGCACACGTGGGGAGCATGGGAGGACAGAGGGTGACTCAAAGCTGGATTCAAACCTCACCTCTAACAACTATCTGCTGTGTGACCCCAGCCAAATTTCTCAGCCTTTCTGAATATAGCACCCTCATCTTTAAGATAAATGATAATTTATACCTCTGCTCCCTCCTTTTCTATATGTGTGTCCTGTATTTCTTTCTCTTGCCTGATTGCTCTGGCTAATGTTTCAAGTACTACAATGAACAGGAGTGGTGAGAGTGCACATCCTTGCCTTGTTCCTGATTCAGAGGAAAAGCTTTCAGTTCTTCCCCATTTAATATGATGTTGGCAGTAGGTTTGTCCTGGATGCACCTTGAGATGGTGTTACATGAAATAAACCAGACACACCAAGTTTAAATATTCCATGGTTTTTTTTTAGTGAGAAACCCAAAATATAAATAAAGAGCACAGTAAAAAATAGATAATAGGAAGTAGGGAGGTCTTTTTCAAATTAGAAGAGGAAAAGAGGGAGAGGAGAGAGAGGGGAGGGAAAAGGAATCTTTAAAAAGAGAGTGGGAATTGAAGGAAAAAATGGAAATAGAGGTTTTTCCAATGGGAAGGGGACCTAGAACTGGAAGGTATAGGGAGGGGTGGAAAGCGAAGGGGACAAAAAATGAAGATGTGTTATGTACGTGTACAAACGCCTCACGATAAATGCAATCGTTATGTACTGACAGCGTGTACTGATACATAGTTAAAGGCTTAGCTCTCACAGAGTCCTTGCAAAGGTTAAATTAGTTAGATTTTTAAGGACTCAGTGAGAGCCAGGAATGTGCTCATTATGTATTCATTTCCATACGAGTGATCTTCCAGCCATCCCGAGTGACTCGGGGTAGATCCTAAGTTATCCCGGCAGATCTTCCCCCAGATCCACTGGGACCTGCTCCGTTTATCACCTAACATCCCACGTGTTCCAAGATCAGTCCTGAAGGGGGCGCTACCACTTGCCAAGAGAAGAGCGGGCTGTGATCATGTTAGGGCCCTTTGGAAGTATGCTTGGTGAATTTCCCTGGAGCCGGAAAACTGTGCTATTATTAATAAATTAGGCAGCTGGACTTAAAGGAAAAACAGTTAGCAGAGGCT